CCATAGCAATTCCGCAGATTCATTTTCAGCATATAATTCACTTTTTTTTTTTTTTAATTCCGCATCCAATTTTGCCTCTTCAGCCTCCAATTTTTTTGATTCTCCTATCAAAGAAGCTTCTTCATTCTACAATAAAAGATGTAAAATAATCATATAATATCGAAATTCATTTCATGAGAAGACAATAGTTTTACAGCAATACCAAGGATAATAAAGCATAATTGGATAATAGATTTCTGTTACCTTCATAGCAGCAAGTTTTGCAGCTACAATATTTCTATCCATTAAGCGAGCATCACTCCCTTCTTTCAAGGAATCAAGTAGCTCACGGTACTGTGCACATTCTTCGTCTAGTTCTTTTAAATGCTGGTCCATCCCCGAAAGTAGCTGCTCTGTACAATCCTGAATTTTATTCCGTGGTGAGATAAGACACAATCAGTCGGGAAGGAAATTATAAAACACACCCTGGATAATTAGTATGATCAGTCACCTCACACATCGGTCCCTTTAAAGCTGAATTTGAATTACATATTATATCAAACAGATTCCCTGTCATTGCTGAAGGACCTTCTTGAAAGCAAAGCGATGGATCATCCTGGAAAAAAATGTAGCAAGCATCACTCATTTACACTCAAAAAATTGCATTTCCATAATAATGCACCTTTTGACAAATTAGAATATTCAAGATGGTGGTAAAAACGTTTTTAAATCGATTCAAATAAATTGAATGAACTAATACATCAACTAAAAACGGATTCTGCTCGTCCTCGAGGCATTCAAAAACACTCTCATCCAAAACTAGCTTATTCTGACAGTTGAAGCATGTTGGGACGTTGTCACTCATTTCGCAGCAATAAATCTGTTTCTAGTAGCATCAGAGAAATGAAAATTCCATTTGAACTGTGCTTCCTGCAAAGGAAAATACTGCCTGTCTTCAATTTATAAAATAAAACAATTAGTATAACGCATTTTATTGCCACTTCATACTAAATAACTGATATCAAATTTATTTCCTCTCAGTTCCATATGACCCATTCCTCCAGTGATATTAGCAGACATGCATCAAAGTCTTAGCTCCTTCAAAGAAAAAACAAACAGTATTCTACGCGGAGAACTCGTAAAAATAGCCTATTTTATTCGCTAAACGCAACTGCAGAACAGCGACTAATGTAGATATTCCAGTATACGTAAAGATTGATGAAAGATTCCCTTGAATTCACGTTTATACTCCTGCAATATGTCACAAGTATATCCTCTTGCATGACTTTCTGCCGATTGTTTGCTCCTCTCTCAGAAATTTCAAGCTTGCAGTCATCAAACCTTACAATACATGAACAAACAATTATTGAGCTGTAAAGATGGGTGGGTTCTCACAGGGTTGCGACAGTAATAGCGTGCATGTCAGTGAGACGTGTCGTTGTCGCATTTACTACTGAAATACGTTTGCACAGTGGACTGGCTGTGTGGATTGGGATTACCGGGTGCGCAAGGTGATTCGCATTAGATTGATTGTTAGGTAAGTATAGAGTGAGTGAAGTTTGCCAATGCTCTTTTTGTCCTGTTTGTTTTGACCTTTACTTTTTGAAAGCAGTTTTGACGTTTTTACTTTTTTTTTGAAAGCAACAGTTAAAATTATGCAGCAAATGTATTTAACGGTGCAATCATTGGAAGCATCAGATCTTCAGAAGGAGTTTATTGAAATAACTGTTGGTTTTTTGTTGGTGTATCGGCATGTTTACAACCATTTTACTTCATAAAAATTCACAGGAACGATCTGGAGATGTATTACGCTAGATGACTGGATATTTATAGATACAGCAATATTCCCTGCACAGTATGTTTGTTTAATGATATCTGTACGCGTGAACTATGTTTTAATAATCACGTCTACTTTGATCGTATATTTTCTTTGTTTTTAGCACTAAAACGGTAGGGTGCGTGGTCGCCGTAGAATTTTCGAGATGTCTTGGTTGTGGGATTGGGTGTCTGGCATGCTTAATTATCTCGGTAAGTATATTTTTATGTTGTTCGTCTGAGGTCGTATACTTCAAATCTGTAATTGTTTAAGAGGCTTGAGATGAGTTGTGAATAAAAAGCATGGAGGAAGTTCTTGAAGTTTATTATTTCTTTTTGTGTTAGCTTTAAACAGCGATAAGACACGTGAATAACAACGTACGGGAATTTCCAGGTTGACGTCAGCTATTTTGATTTTAATGTTACAGGTCTGACTAAGAAAAACGGTAAACTAGTTTTCTTGGGGCTGGATAACGCTGGCAAGACGACACTTCTTCATATGTTGAAAGATGATCGTATGGCCCAACATGTTCCGACACTTCATCCTAGTAAGTTTATACGTTTGTAGTATCCTTTTGGGTTATCTTTTTGTGCTTTGAAGGTACTCTAGTCTGGTGATATGTTTATGTTCTATGCACATATATAACTCCCTTAATTCTTGACGAATATTCGGAAATGTTAGGCTTTATGTTTTGTGAAAATAGTTCATTGGAATAGGAGCGTTGAGATTATTTCTCTTATAAATAGGAGAACGCTGAAAAAGTAGGGAGAGATAGGGAAATTGTTCTCCAAATGTTTTTATACAATATTTATGCGCTATGTGCTAGAAAATTTAAGATTCATACACGTTATGTTTGATTAGCCTTGATTACTGGTTCTGTTCTTTTATCATTTCTTTCAATTTATAGTATATTTAATGAGATGCGGTTCTAGCTTCTGAAGAGCTTTCACTGGGTGGTATTCGCTTCACAACATTTGATCTTGGTGGACACGAACAAGGTTAGTTCGGTGACTCTCCTGTATAACTGACGAGATTTTTGTGTGCTAATGTGATAGCCCTTTTGATGCAGGTAATGCATTTTAAAACCGCTTTAGTTTTGACTTAAATTGGTTCAGACCGTTACTTCAGCCTTTTTTTCACATAGCAATTTTACGCAAAGAGAAAAACAAATCCGTGGGTTAATTTAGTTGCAGCAATTACTGTGTTTTAAGCAAGTAGTGGTTTGACTTTTTTATCATAAATCGCAATGATTATGCAGAAAGCAGTGAAGTATGTTCTACATTTCAAGGATAAATGCCTGTCGGAGATTAGTGGCGTTTATTTCATCGGATCATATAGGAATTGAAAGAGTGAAACATTTTCAGCACGACGTGTTTGGAAGGATTATTTTCCAGCTGTAGACGCTATTGTATTTTTAGTGGATTGTGCTGATGTTGAGCGGATTGCGGAAAGTAGGCGTGAGGTGCTGTTTAATCAAGTCGTTATTTCAGCTTTTTTTTACAGAAGAATTTTATGCAGAATTTAAATTCGTGCGTTTAGTTGCAATAATTACTCTGTGTTTTAAACTGGTTGTTAACTTCTTTGTATCTTTAGCTCGAAAGCTTGTTGGGCGATGAGCAAGTGGCTTCTTGTCCAGTACTTATTCTCGGAAATAAAATTGATAAGCCAAATGCATTAGGAGAAGATCAGTTGAAGTGGCATTTGGGAGTATCAAACATGACCACTGGAAAAGTTTGTTGATGCAAATTTATTGGTTTTTATTTTTCATAGAACCACACTGTGTTTTTATTTTCATCAGTTGTTGTTTACTTTGTGCTGTTCCCTTTTATCCTCCTCATTCCACATTTCCTTAATATATTTTAAGTGACGTTTAATTAAGCTATCTTTATCTGGATTTAAACTAATGGCTATCCATCAGCCCTTTTCCCTGATTTTTTACTGGTCGTTATGTTCTTTTATGATTTAGATACCTGTAGAACAGTTTCAAGGCTTAAATTTATTGTAATACAAAGTTAAGTTCCACAAATACTCTATGGTAACTCGAACTTGGATGAGTTTTACTCAGATATTATTGTTTAGGGACAAATTTCGAGGATGGATATATCGTCGAGACCAATGGAAGTTTTTATGTGCTCGGTTTTAAGGCGCCAAGGATACGGGGAAGGTTTCAGATGGTTGTCGCAATATTTAGATTAGATATTGCTGGATATGCTTCTCTAAATGAGTTATGTGGGATGGTGTTCATTTATTGTACTTTTCCAAACAAATTTCTATATAATTTCATTCCATCATAAGATTATAAATTAATATCTGGTCGTTCTTGTCCTTTAGAATGTTTTTTACAATTTTGTAACAGTTGTTCATTAACTGGACGCGAACTTCAGTTTAAAAAAAGTTTGTCATTATCAATCAGCGGTTACAGTGATTAATAATTACAAACTTTTTTTTTAAAGGAATGCCATACATGCTGCCGTGCGGAGCGGCTTTAAAAATAATGTGCGTATGTGTGGAGGGAGAACAATTTTAGTTATTTGGGTTGTTATATAAAATGGTTGAATGCTTTGATTTGTTAACAGGATACATGAACATACACTGCATAAGATTTGTTAATCAAATCCAAAAAAAAGGAAACGACTTCACTTAGATAAGACTTGTGTGCTAGAGTAATTGAAAGCACACAATAGGGAAGAATGTACGCATTTTCACTGCATTATACGTATCAGAGTTTAAAAAAAATGCCATCTTAGTAATTTATGGGAAGCGAAGATAATTAATTGGCGCATCGGATATCGATGACTTCTGAAAAATGATACCTGGATAAAAGTTCAATGTTGCGTATCATAGTGGTCGTCAAGTTCGCCTGCTGAAATGAGCGGTTTTTGTTTAGGTTTTCTCTTAATGGTTATTCTGGACAACAGATGGTTTGTAATAGACTAATCTGCTAGAAGGTATTTCTGATTTGGATTATGTACTTTGAACCAGCTGAGATGCAGCAACAACCTCTCGTCCGATCTGCTTTTAGGTTTATGTACTGTTATACTGTGGTAATAACCAGTGTTCTACCGTGGGTATCAGTGTGACGTTATTCGAGTTTGATTTCGTGGAAGATTCAGGTTGAAATTGCAGTGAGAAGAGGGGGTTCCAGGTAGCAAAAATGTAAAAAGAAAATAGCTGTAAGACAAGAAGCAGGTGGAGAAACAATATAATGCAGACTAGGGGTATATCTGGGACAGCTGTTCTCAAATTGTGTAACGCCCTCGACATCTATCCGATTCCTTGTCTGATTATCTCCCTGATGGAACATGACAATATCGTACGGATTAAGGAAGAAGTCCCAGGCGACGGTAGGACTGCATCTCAATTGTCGACCACTATAACTACTGTTGATAGTCCATTACCGCAGGTGTTTGCATTTCCCCTTGTAATAATTTTTCTAATGAGTGAAGCAAAGCTTCCGTGATTATTTTTATTAAAGTTCGATTTGCAAAAAAAAAAAAAGGAAGAAGGCGTGTTTTTATTTCATAAATATCTCACGTAATAGATGATAAACAGTCTGAACCATAAAGCAATGCGAATTCATGATCTACGAATATCAGTTAATGTATCGAAGCAGGTAGTATTCAAGCTTCTTGAAATCTTATTCAGTTGACAAATATACTAGGAAATTTGTCGTTTAGGGTTTATCATGTACTGTACTAGAAAAATTTATTATTTAGAATTAGCAGTGACGGTATATTTTTGATGTCTTATCTATTCTACAGAATTGCCATTCTAATACAAGTGCTTTTCTATACAGTTCCTGTCTACGATTATTTCGTTATATTATGTATCCTCTTATTGTTTCGCATCTGTAGTTATGCTCAGTTGTCCATCTCCAAATAGTTTGTCTAAGTTCTAGAATAAAAACGCAGTTGGTGACGATGTATTATCTCAGATAACAGCTCATCAATTCCCTAATGGAAATAAGAAGATACTGTTGAATTTTTTAAGGGAAATAAGGAGGACGGGAATTCTATTTCTAATGAAGAATTTGACATCTCGGAATATGAAAAAAGACTATACGGTAATGCGAAACAAGCAATGGATCTAATTGGTGATTTGTGCAGCCGTTCTGAACAGATCACTGTGCAACAGAAGGAAACGCTACTCAGGTTAGTGCTTCGTTTTCGTGAGGGAAATATTATCGAATTAGTATGTCGTCTGATGTCTTTTTTTTTTCTTGTACTTTACAAAGAAAAAAGGTTTTATTCGATTAGTTTCTCGTGTTTTAAAATTTTGTTAGTATTAAAGTTTTCTAGCCCAAAACTTATGTTTTTGAGTTAATTCTGTCAAATTCGGCTAATTTTGTTGGTGTACTTTGTCTACAGTATGCTTTCTCAGATTGAAAGAGGAACAGCAGGAATGGCGAAAGGTCACTGAAAAAATCCAGGAAGTTACAAGACAAAATGAACAACTTATCATTGCAAAACAAGAGGTTTGTTTTTTTATGCAAGCATGATTTCCGAGCAAAAATAAAGCCATTCGGTAATCTACCGATTCGATATGCACTTTTCTTTTTGTTGGTGGTCGCTCAGTTGAGCGCCTTATTCGTCATGTTGCATACCGGTGCAAAGAAAAAGCTTTCCAACATACTCGAATCTTTATCACAGCTTATTGAAATGAATCCGGCCACAATACTTTTAGATCCTGTTGTCATTCGTTATTCAGCTGAACTGAAAGCAATTAGATTTAATGCATATAACCAGGAAGTATATTCACAATAGAATTTATGCCTTGCAATATTTTTTATGGCTTTGATCTGATTTCAAATAAGTTACTGAATTTACTATTGAAGCTGGAACAGCGCCTGACTGAACATAATGAAGGAAATGGAATGTCCCAGAGCAATGAGGTAGAAGGAAACCAATCTCAGTAAGCTTTGTATTGTTTCTAAGTCAACTTCACCTTATAGGAATCTGAAAGTCAGAAAAGTGTCGCATTTTTCTCCGGAAAATATGGTGAGATATTACACTCATTTCAATTCTTTACGTAATTTTGAATTAGTTCATTATTTAGTTAGTTTTTTTTTTTTATTCAGTGTTTTAAAGGACGCAATGGCAAAGAGTGGATAGTTCACATATTATCAACAACAACCTATCACAACCGAACAGTGTCACCTTTCTTCAGAGCACCGATAAAATCGTTGTTACAGATCATGATAACGGTTTACTGCTTTTCTCTACACAATTTGGACTCATCAAAAAAGTTTCTAGTTCAGAGTGGAAATGGCCCCAGTCCGCTATTTACACTCTAGATAATAAAATCTTGGTAAATTTCTTCAAAATTTGATAGAGTTTGTCGTAAAACAGTGCTCGGAAACTGTTTTTTGTGTTCCCATAGATAGCCTTTTCCAGTTCCTAATCTCCGTCGTAGTAGTGGTTTGTCGGATAAATAATATCAGTTACTATGTTATTGTGTTGTTGGAAGAATTTTGCCTTTTTTGCAGTCTCTTCCAAACTTTAGTTATTTGCTCCTTAATTCGAATTGAGATTTAGTTAGTTTGTTATGAACATTTTTTAGTTCTGGCAATTCCGGTAATTAGTGGTATAGTATGATAACATATCAGTTATTATGTTATTTCTTAAGCTTGTTTCATGGATTACCTCTGTTGTTAATAAAGTTCAAGAAAGTTTCAAGGACGAATTAGAATTGTAGGTTTCCGCGATGGTAAAAGATAAAAGTGGAGACAAAACGGTATGGAAGCGTAATTTAATGAGATTTGACGAAAAACTAGAATTCATTTCAAGGATTGAAGGACCAAAATGGATAGAGAATGAAACGATTACTAGGGAACATTTGTGCATGGCATTAAATGGTTACATATATTTATGCGTTACTGGAGAAACATTTTCGGCTCTGTATGAACTTACAACCAATGGTCAATGGACCGAACTTTGCCATAAACGGAGTACAAAGTTCTCTAACATACAAGTGAGTGTTTAGTATTTTAATTTTAAAACTATCAAAATCTGGTGAATTTTAATCGTTTATTTATTTCAACCCTTGCGTTTCGCAACGATCACAAAAATCTGAAACTTGTCTTTCTACAGCATCCATGTGTGATAAGCAGAAGAGATTGCAGGTGTTGGCGGTCATTGATGTGATAACAGAACTTCTGGTCGTAGAACAAAAACGAGGTTATATTTGGCTGCTGAGTATTCGGGAATCTACTATATGCGACCGAAACATAATTGCTGCCGTGGAAAAACCTGGAGCACTGTGCATTGACAACGAAAACCAACTCTTCATTCATGACATTAGACAGTCGAAAATTCGTCTTTTAGAAGCACGTACCTTTGAGGCATTGCAGGATGTAGCTCTTACTTCTAAAAATCTAACAGCTATCACTGCTTATCAAGGACTGTTGGTCGCAGTTTATTGCGCTGACAAAATTATTCACCTCCATAGGTATTCACTTCCCCATAAAAAGAGGTTCATGTAAGTTTTGCTTCTTGCCTACATTAAGAATTCAAAACTTACAATTTAATTCGTTTAAAAACAACGTCTGTTCATCTGTCTGTCAGTTTTCACGCTTGCAAGCCACCAAAATTTGGTTGATTTCGGAAGTAAACAAGGATGAGACTCTTATATGTTTCACAGACCCAACGGTCCGGAAATCTCGATATTTTTTCCTAAGTCACTATCGCTCATTCAATCACTGTACTGTACCATCTTCTAAATTTAGTCAAAAATTAGACCCGCACATTTCGATGATTCACAAAGATTCATTGTGACTCAAACGATTAATGAGCCATACATTACACATAAATTCCAGCTCAACATCAATTCGTTTCTGTGATATGGAAAAGGATTGAAGTGTATGTGATTAGATGGTTTTTGTGAACATCGTTCGGATCTAACACACTGTTTATAAAGGAGGTTACGTAGTACGCAAGACGTAGAATAAAGTTTTGATTTTTTCATTCGCAGACTCTCACCAACAATTACATCTATTAGAAAATAGCAGTCTACGGTACAAAATCACTTCCATGCGGTAACGCAATAAAACCGAAAAATGTAACCCCCATTAACCATCTGAAAAAAAAAAATTTTTTTATAAAGCCTAATACGAGTTTGTGGTCTCGAGACAGGAACTATTCAGCACATGATTAACTATCGTGTGCTGGATGCAAACCTCTTTTTGAAATATAATGATTGGAGCAGTAATATGGTCTATGTCGAAATCAAAGCCTTTGATGATTTGGATATGATGAAAGGGATATGAAAAGACATCTCTGTGGAAACCGAGCACCCTAAATTTACAAATGTATACATTAAAACAATAAATTTTAAGGGAATTTAAGCTATCATAAGATTAATGTTGGCATTCAAAAGAACGAGGGGAAACATTCCAACAAAATTCATTTAAAAAAAAAGCTACAAAAATGAACGACATAATACCCGGAATATAACACGTTTTGAAAGGCATAAACAAAAGCATGAAATTTTACGTAATTGAGTCATTAGAAAACAGATTCCGCATGAGTCTCAAGACGCTGTTGAAGGCGAAGAGATATGATTGAACGGTTTCAAGGGAAGAGATACAATAAAAATTTTTTCAGTTGTATAAAATCGTAACTGCTGGCTTATATGCTTTAGTTTTTTTTCTGAACTCTGATCAATAACGCTACCATCGCTGTGGAAGCGGAAAGAAATGTAATATGGTGTGATTCTGAAACCATTCTTCATTAAATGAAGATAACAGCGATTAGGGCCTTAAAAACGCAGTTTCATCAAATATTTTGTTTAAGCTCTATGAGCAATAAATGAGTTACAAGAGAATGATTTGCAGTAACTCACAGGAAAAAAGGAATAGTCGCCGAAAAGTTTGAGCACAAAGAAACATTACACCTTTTACACATATACTTACACTTATTTGAACTTCTGGGCAAGACTATTTAGCTGACTACCAATATTCATGTAGAATTCTCCCTGGGTTTCCAAATAGGTCGCCATCATGTTCTTGAAATCTTCGCCGAGTTCACGATTTTGAAATGCTATTTCAGCAAGCATCATGTAACTGATAGAATCAACTTTCTCCTTCACTTTTTCCATATCTACACTTGAAACGCGACCTTCTATCGCAAGCTTTTCATTTTCACGCAGTTTGGATATCGCTGACTGTACAAATCATTATAAAGAAAAAAAATGAAGTCATCATTAGAATTCTTTTGCAGGGGAAGACAGAGACTGAATTCTATCGGAAGTGATAACCAACAAAGTAAGTAGCAATTTCAATGTAAATAAAGGAATTAAACTATTTTATAAAGCCAATACCAAAACGCTATTAACTATATGTGCTTCATGAAAAACAGCACTTTTAACTAGTCAGAATAGATTGGCAAAGTGTGTTAACGCTACTATCGTTCTGTTTTAGCCCTTAGGACCCTTTAATATTTAATAAACTTTGCATTTACTTACTCTGTGAACATTAACGATATCTGGTATGCAGGCAAGCAAGCCTTTGTAGGAATATAATGCATCCAGTAGAGGATCTAATGATTTTTTAGCTAATTTCTCATGTTCATCACCGATCCAGCGTAGAGCTTTCGCTGTTTCTTTCAAAGCACTTGTAACTTTCTCATTTTCTGGAAGAATCTTATTAAACAGAAATTTCGCTCGGACGACAACTACAGTCATTTTGCAAAACGGTTACAATACCTACTATGTTTCACATTATTTCTAATGTAACCTTGTGAGTTAACTTGTAAGCGTATCATGATGTCAGAAGGAAAATATCCGGACTACACAAACATGCAATCAAATTGAAAAGTCATATTAGTTATAAAAAAATCGTTACTGTCAGAACTGAAAACAATATCGGATAATTTTGCTAGGCCTATGAGCCCTTGGATGGTGCAAAAGTTATTCAGTATGAAAATTAAAGCTAACTTGATGATGGGTTGACATCGAATGATCGACATAGACCAGTACACGCTTCTCCCATTTTGTGCCAATTTGTTTTGTATGCTACAAAAATACCACCAGAAACATAAAGCATAATATACTTTACATATTAAAAATAATGGTTCTAGTGCCAATAAATATGCGAAATTTACGTCCTGCAAGCCTTTTGTGAGTTTCGCTGACTCGGTTATACATGAAGTGAACACTTTCTTCGAAACTCCGCATCGAACGAGTAAAAGTATCCACTTTCTGTTCACTTAAAATAGAGTAAAAATTGAAGTATACACTGAGAAACAGTATAAATACAATTATGATATCATAGCGGCAGTACACTTTGTAATACATGATAATAGCTGATGGATAGACTCACGAATCTCCACTAAAACTGCGTTAAAGAGGTATATTGCATAATTAGTAAATCTTTCAGAAGCAGAAAATTTCTATGCTGATTTTAAGATAAAGATCACTGAACTACATTATCGTTTTTTGATTAAAAAATATGAAAAAACATACACATCACTGCTATCGAGTGGCTGACTTGGAACACTAATCGAATAAAGAAAATTTCCTCCAACGTATTCATCTTTTTCGGCTTTTCTTTTACCATTTTTCCACTTTTTTTCATCTGTACACGTTACGAAATGTATCCACACGTCTGATTTACTGAGAACAGGATGCCTGCATACTTTATTAACCCAAATTTGTAGAATACTTTTTCGATGTTCAATAAAATCTTCTTCATAGCGGCCTGAATAAAAACTTATTATCGTCCCCAATAACCATTCTCTTTAAATATGCATATGCATAATATAATGCAAAATCATCTAGCATTCATTTAATATAATCATACCAGCAACTTGTTTTTCCGGCAGTGGTGGAAGTGGTATTAAAATGTATTTAGCTGACATCCGCTCATAAAGCCAATCGAAATGTTTGTATCGGCGTGACACCTACAGAACAATGCAAATTGTTTTTATTATAATTTTCCATGAAAGTTGCTGTTATCGTCGTCGAGTGCTAAGTGAGTGGTGACACAATACCACGAATACATCGTATTTTACCCCACTGTGTGTACACATTAGAAAACTCAGCATCAATCACGATAAAATACCCAGCATTGGGAAGTCAGTAAATAATAAAAGGATAGAATCCGTTTACAGCAAAAGAAATGGATGAACCAAATTTTTAAAAAAAAAAAGTGGAAAAATAACCTGTATGCCGCTGAGGGAGGATTTAACGCTATATGCAATGAAACTTTTCAAGCCTTTGAGTTTAGATTCTTTCTTCGGTTTATCAACGATGCAATAATAAGGCTGAGCAACTGGAATCCATTCCGCTCCGTCTGCTGTTAGCTAGAAATTGAGTATCACATTACATCAACAGCAAATTCCAGACTGTACTTAATAACGAGAATTTTAATGTTCAACATTCCCCAGCAAATATAATAATAAACTTACAATTATTTCATGGTGTTCCTCCGTTTTTGATGTGAGTCTTGAAGTAAGCAGAATGTAATCCTCCATGCCTGACTTAACAAAATTGGAAAATCTAAAAAATAGTCAAGATATTACATCTTTAAACAAAACAAGTATATCACTAGCAAGAAAACTTGCCAAATCAAAATACTTCTTAATTTCTGATGAGGAAACAAGACAATGAAAAATATGTGGAAACGTGATTTACCGATTTATATTCTTTACTCTAACTGTTCCTTGTTTAACCAGTGCATCATTTTTAGTAGCTCGATTACTGGATATATAATTTTGTATTTCATGATTATCAGCCGTATTTAATACAGTTTCCTAAATGTATAAAAAGACATCACTCACGAATTTTGATTCTTCGTTTACCATTACTTATCTTTAAAAAACAAACGGAAATGTGAATGCTTACAAACTTCCTGTAAGAAAAAATAAGACCTTAACAATGAACATGGGAAAAGAACTGAACTCTGGTCTGTAAAACTAAAAGCGTAATATTTTACCACAAAAAAAAAAAAAAAACCAAAACTTTCGTTTTACAGAAAAATATTTGGTTGTAACTCATATTTCATACTTGAGTACAGTTCAAAACTTCAAACTACGAATTTAAACCTGATATTCTAAGTTCCAACCAAATGAAGTCCCAAAAGTAAGTTTTCACTAATCTCAGAAAAATTTGTAAGTAAAAAAATAATGACTGTTACAGAAAATTTTTTGCAGCAACGTTCACCTTAATTAGTCGAGCAATCATGAACCAAATTAACAAACTATTGGGAAGAAAGTCAAGAAATATATGGACATTATTATAAAGAGAGCAGTAAATTCATCTGTAAGAAAGCTCAATGACACGAATTCCACTCAAAATGAATAAGATATAGCTTTGCAAAAATCGGTATCAGTAGCGGTCCATAAGACATGAGTCATATGTACTAAAATTCAAACGCAACAACAATCTTAAACATAAATCATAAAGCAGCATTCAGATTTCATCCCGTATTCAGAATATCGAAAATATGAAACGAAATTAAAAGCATAACGTACCGATAAATCTTCGTCATCATCAGTCCAGTCATCAAAATCGTCATCGTCATGGGAAGCTGGTACAAAGGTCGGAGGTGCCACTACATCATGCACTGGCTAAAACTAATTATCGTATTCAGTTCATCAGACTTTCTTCAATAAACCGATAATTAATTAGAAAAAAAGATGAAAGCCAATATCATGGACATGGCTTAACTTGCTGAAACAGCAGGCCTAACGATCATTTAAGTGCTAAGATGTAAACCAGGTCTATTATATGAATGATGATTTTGAATAGCTGAAAAACCATGGAAGCATCCAAATTTCAAATTGCACGGTCCAATACTACAGTTATATAAAATAAAAAGACAAAGAGACCTGTTCATTTGACGGAATGATCAGCTGTGGATATTGAGCGGATGCAGGGGGTGCATCCCAACGATCGTTAACAGCAAAAGCTGGAGTATTTTGATGTTGTATAGTAACGGCCTTAAAATACATCAGAAGAATAAAAAAGTTTAAAGAATATCACGGGCATAGTTCGAACAGCAAAGAATCCTGAGCAAAAAGGACAGATGAGTATATTTTACGTTCATCCAGCTGATTAATTATTCGAGAATAACAGGTTCAAATTCATTGGAAACTACATGCGCAAAATGAATAATATACACATTAAGCTGAACTAACGTTAAAGACATCATCTACCCTGCAAAATCGAACTGCACTAATAGGGAAAGGGGCTGCAAAAAGTATAAATCGATATATTCGTTAAAATCCAAACAACTATTCAAACAAATTGTTCACGTTAGTTAGTGTCAGAAGAAACCACAACCACAATTTTTTTCAGAAAATAGTGACAATGCTACATCACTGAGATCCTATAATACCTTGAAAAGACGGAATGTTTTGATTTGTCTTGAAACACTTATACAACATATCGTCAAAAGTAAAGCTGTGAAAAAAGATGCAGTTCCACAGCTAACTACCGGACACTGATGCATATGAGGTCATGAACGAGATTCCAGAAAATACATATTGAAATTACGCAAAAGCATATGGAAGTTAGAAAGCAGGAAAAATTCACTTTTGGAAGACTTGGTGAAGTACTGACTTTCACAACGTAGGATTCCGGGAAAAGCCCATGCTGTCCTTTTGCATTGCGACCTTCTAGCCATCCCCCTTGGATACCCTAAACATTTCTTGAAGAAGTTAAAAAAGAACTGGATGAAAAAAATTTTTTTTTGGGTATTAGAAACTTTTATAGAAAGAAAAACTCGTGGAATCCGTAACAATCATACTTCTTTGATCAATTCTTTTCTTCACATAACACCAGTCCTTTTTACAAAAATTTTTTCATGGGCATATTCTCTACAGCTATGCTTCTAGCTGTAGTTAACGACAGTGAAGAAACATGATCCACCTGGTTAAACTTACGGGGAATTTGCAACATCAACTTAACCCTGCAAAGTTTACAAATAGGACAAAAAACTTTTCTTTTTTCTTTTGAACAATAGAAGACGAAAAGACATACTTCTCTGACAACTGTAAGAATTTCATTTACTGAAATGGACAATTCTCCAGAGTTTGGTTGCGCTTCAAATTCATAAACTGCTCGAACTTGACTCATGCTGCCGTTTTATATCTTCTGTATTATGTATTTTATACGATATGTTCCACGTCGATCAAATACTTTTTCAATCAGTGGATGATCTAAATATTCATTTCAAAAAACTGCATTACTGGTAGGAGATACAAACAGAATAAGGAGTCAAAACTTGTATGATATGTAAACAGTGGCATAAACACCAACAATAATAATCACCAGGTTTTAATGCTGATGAAAACGTATTTCATAGAAGTCTCTGGTACTGTGCATATCAAATAGATAATTACGAAAATCCTGTGATGTCACTACATTAACGTTAATCTAGATAGAAATTATATACAACGGCAATTTTTTAGTCAACGAATGTTATTTTCAAATAATTTGACAAAAAGAAATACAAGTATACATTACAAGATGGAATTAGTTCCCTTATTTTTGATGACTGCTTCTTAATAAGATTTTACCCGACAAAATCTCCAGACCTAAAATAAGCATCCCAATTTTACATGATGTCAGGAGATCGACTAAATTCGGTTCAGATCCAGATGCAGACTGCATGAGAAGTTTTCAGTTAAACTACAATCGTTATCATCTTTGCAGCAGCAGAAAGTAAGAAGGAAGTTAGTTATACAGCAAGTTCTCGTCGAATCTGACAAAGCTGGACATTTGGTGACCTCATAACCTCTCCCCTTCCCCCACTCTAGTTATGATTACAAGCACTCCCACAGCTCCCATCGCTTCACAATGATAAACTGCAGAACTGCGTTCAGATTCCTTCAACTATAGATACGTGGCTGCGTTATGCAACATCCTTGAAGTACGGAGCTTTTTCCGGGAGGGCTGAAATTCGAAAAAAGTAGTGGATTCCGCTGGGAAATTTTCTTGCTAGTCTAACAGCAGCAGTGATGGGGTATCAGGCGAAATATTTATGAATATGCTGTAAGTGGCTCTACTTTCCCTCTGTTTCGTCTCTCATCTTATCGGAATGCCAATGTTAATTACTGTCATTTCATGTGGGTCGTCAGTGCTTGACTTAGAAAACAGTCTTCCCTTTCTCAGTTTGAGTTGGAAGGCTCATACTCATACTCAGTGGATAAGATGTCTGAAGTTTCTGTTTTCCAGTTATCTGGGAGTAATGAATCGCGTCAACAACTCTATTGTCTTTTGTGTTTTAATGCTCAAAAAAGTGCAGCCAAAATTTAAACAGTACACCTAATTCACTAGAGGAATTTTGCTAAGTGGAGTAACTTTGGTGTTTGTCCTTTGCTGTTTATTGTTTGTTTTGTTGTTGCTGTTTGTTTCGTTGTTGTTTCTGTTTGTCGCTTTGTTGTTTGCCGTTGTTTTTAGTTCCAGTTGTTACTACTTTTGAAAAGGTAGAAAAGTCCTGCTCTAACAGCTTATGTAAAATTGGTCACGAAAGTGTGACTCAGACCGCGACTGATATAGAAAAATAGGAGGGGACGCGGCATTTGCATTGTGTTCCTCGTCTGTTTGTAACTTAACAGTGTTAAGTGTGCGGAAATGGTTTTTTGTTCCTGCCAGGGTGGTGGTAGTCAAGTGGTATGGTGGGGCGGAAGGAAGGAAGGGATGAGTTTTCGATGACTATGGTTTCGGCTAATTAGTTTAAGTTCTAATTCAAATCCCATTAAAATCCTTTTAAACATGGAATTATGTAGTTTCACTTTGTGTTTCGCGAATATTACATAGCTTATTATTCGTAATTTATGCAAATCAACTTCGTGCCAATTGATTATAAATTCTTGTGTTCAGTTAGTCATTCGCTCACTAATCAATAGCATCTTTTCTCCGTGTTTCTGTTCCTCATCATTTTTTATTGATTTTGCGTTGGTCTCCAGCTTTCTTGTGATATTAACCGATCACAAACGTTGTAAGTAGATGTGGTTGTGTGAAAATGCACTATTGTATAGTTAGCTGAGAAGTACTCTTGGACAAAACTTTTTCATGTTGACGTCAGATTAGTGAGACGAAGTGAAAGGAAAGAGATGTGAAAGATAAGTTTGTCTCACAGTTTTTCATGAAGTGTTACTGTAATAGCAATGAACAAATTTCTACAATTACTTTAATCCACTGCCTCATTGTGTGTTTGTATAGAAACTTTCGAAAAGAAAAAAAAGCCGCTCTCAGTACTAGGTGTTGTTATTGTGCTATCGAAAACTTTTGAGTCTTCGGAAATTTGAATAAATTTTATGTAACTAAAATATTATGTTGATTCACAGGTGTTTGAAATGTCACTGGATAACGGAGGTGTTGCACGTGGCCTTCAGTATCGCAACCACGATTTCGCGACATTTGGACACTGCAAAACTAAAGCCGATACAACTACCGATCTGGGTGAAGAGTGTTTTGATTTACATAATATCAAGAAGCCAACATCGGCTTCATCGGTTACGCTGAAGCAAACCTCAACACCATCACCGAGTTATCCATCAGCGAATTCGTGGCCTGGATTTGGAGGTCGTCATACTCATAGCGGCGAAGATATTCAGGTTCCTACTGTAGACTCTATCAAGTCACCATGTTCAGCCAAGTGCGAATTACCTTTCCGACAGCAAAAAGTAAATTTTGGTTTTGTCACTGGGTGAAGCTGATATGTAGGAGGGGGAGCAATTTGATGGCGTACTGGAAATGGTTCTTCGGTGAGAAAATTTCCATTTGTGTACTGCTCTAGTAAATGCGTCTTGTTGTTTAGCTTTTTTTTTAGTTTGCTTACATTGCACCTGCACAGTCATATTCACTTTCATTTTGGGTACCATCGACAATGTAGCAGTATTGCACACTATTCTTTTGCAGTATAAAAAATGCTTTTTTTCAGCTGATAAGGCGTGTATATGTATTTTCATCAAAGATGGCAAATGACGCAGCAATTGGCGTGCGTCAAAAAAAATATGAGTCGATTATTGCTTGGCATGAAGCAAATTGCCGGCCAAGCACATCTAAATGTGATTTCATAGATGATTGCCAGACAGTGCCTACATCGAAGAAAAAACGACGTAGTGTGGTTGGTTCTTTAATTTATGTATCTTCATATGATTTTTTTTTTTCTGTTTTGAAATAGTGCTATAATTAGCTCTATGAAATATTAATGTTTTGAATTAGGGACCTATATATGGTGTTTAGAGTTTTAAATGGATTATTATAATAAAGCCTAAGAACAACATTGTGACTACAGACTTGAAAACCTGAACTTTTCTGATGATGGGATGAATGTATATATTTAAATTAAGCAAAATAGTGTTTTTCAGGTTTTAATACCCAAATTTCAGCAAGACTATCGAAATGGATCACCGATGAGATCATGTGGTACACCTTCCGTATGCAGTCCATCAAGTACTATGCTTCCAACGCCTTCGCAGACAAGCGGCGAGTCAAGCGGTAACCCACCAAGTAATCCTTCTGAAACACCTTCTTGCGAATTGCTCAATCCTGATGATCACACTGATATTGGCGATAATCCATTAAGGTGTTAATTAATAGTTTCCCAGCTCATGTTGTTGCTAAAATCTTTTATTTCATAAGTCTCTGTAATACTTTTTATTCAATTTTTTTGTGATGGCTTAATGTATATATTGAACATGTTCGTGTTTGTAGAAGAATGGAACGTATGACGCAGGATTCACTGTTTGAGCCTCCTTCAAAATTGTGCCGTACGTCTGCTGACATCAATCAGCCTGCAAAGAGGTTGCTTTTATCAGCATACTGTGAATCTGAACTGAAATAGTTTTTTTTTTTCCTACTTACATTTATTGATGATTGGTTAGACATGCTTTCTGCACATTTTTTAATAGAAAGATTTTTTAACTGACATACTCTATAGCTGATAGTATACAGTCATAATACTATCGCATCAACACACTTGATGAAAGCTTTATGTGGTTCCATAACCGACATTTCAGGGAACAAGATCGTAATGCAAAGCTGGAAAAAATGCGGACACTTGAACAACAAATAATGTATGATAAAGCTAAAACAGAGTGGGATCGGATGATGCATGAACACGAAGCAATTAAAATGACCCGGAGCCATATGCCTCCTCTGTTACCGCCTTGTTCCTCTCAATCATCAGTTCCGGTTCCTTATCCATGCACGTTTGCTAATCAGAATGGAATAGTGATGCAAGGGACATGTCGACGATCCATATATCCACAACCACTACAACCAACAGAGCCGCCGTCCTCAGTCTCCAATATTTCCATAAACACTCCGATGACGGTCTCATTACCGCAAGTTTCTGGGTCAAACATGCCAATGTCTCAACCCTTAAGGCCATCTCTTAATCCATCCGCTTGCAACATGCAGTACTCACAGTGCAGTTTTATGTGTTGTGCTTATCCTTCTAGTACCTATCCTCCCTCACAAGGTTATTCCCATATAAATGGTGCAGCATCATCATACTTTCCTTCCAGCTTCGCCCCCAACAATGGAAATGTAACACCACAACCCAGAGAGTAAGTTGTAAACCCATTGAAATAACGTTCTTGACACAAGTTTATGTACCAAACCAAGTCATTATACAGTAAGTTGATTGCTAATTTCTGGTCAGTGTACTTGTTTTTTTTTTTTTTTTTTTTTTTGTTTTGTTTTTTCTTTTTCAGCTATGGTATGTACCAACAAGGAATTCGGGCAGTGTGCTCACCGGAGAAAATGGAGAATGAGATGTGGAATAGGCAAATACCGACAGTGTCTGCTGACTTCAACAATACCTTTCTGAACCAAAAAGTGCAATATCATCCTGTAAGTAATAGTTTTTGCATCCAGCTTTTTTTTTTTTTTTTTTGTGAGCATACGTGGGTTGGAAATTTTCCTAAGCATTGATAACGACGGGTTCTCATTAACTCAACGCGTCATTATTGTATTATAATCACGGAGTAGCAGCATGGTGCGGTTTGTTTTTAAACTATTCAAGAAGGGTTTATATCATTTTAATTAGTAGAATTCATTTTGATACACTAAAAAGAAAAATTGATAAACCCTGAAAATTGAGTAGTTCCATCTTCCATTTAATCCTTTGTTACCGTGGTCATTCACAATTCTTACTCTCTTGAAATATTTCAGCTTGTTGGAACTTCCATAACACATGTCTCTTCTCGTCTTGCCATAACTAAACCATTTTTACTTTTTATATTGCTTTGTTTTGAAGTCTGGTCAAAATTTTGCTTTGGTGCTTCCATTCTGAATTTCTATTTCTTTCAGAATGGCGCAGTGGTAGACGAGAAATTGTTGGATGCGGTTGCTAGCACGAATGCAATGTTTGCTTAATTCGTTCATTTCTTCTATTATTATTTTTATGCTGCAATAAACATTTTTTTATTATGAGTGATGCATTTTTCATTATGAATAAAATCTTTACGGTACTACATTGTTTGACTTTTATGCTCCAGAATAATAGAAAGACAAGATTTTTGCAAGGTATAATATGGAAACTATGTATTTTATGTCTTTTAATTGATGTGCAACTCCTCCTGCGACAGATCTGACTGTATATGTTGCTCTTTCTGCTTGTTTGTTTGCACGTGAAGTCGTGGGACCTTTGGTGGCATTATAAAAGAAGGCAACGACCAAAGTTACAATTATAAGTTGAGAATGAAAGTGGATAGATTGCAGCGGGAGGAGTCAGGCAGTCTTTTAATCAGCGGGAAGGATCGTTTGGCAGTAATGCAGTGGAATGCTGACTGATCCGATAGTTCGGGTCAACTAATTGCGTTCACCTGAAAAAGTGACAGTCAAGGGGAAGAAGAGTGACACTTATAAATTCTGTTCTCTTTGTCAATGAGCAAAACGGGGGAACTTTGCATTTTCACAACGGAACAACAATTCGAAAGGACTCTACGATGAGTGGTTGATTGCTGTTACCATTGCTTTAGCGTTTTTGGCTCGATGAGGGGAAAGGAGGGGGGGAGGGGACATCATTATGTCCGTGTTGTGTTTTGGTGGATATTTCCGGTCCTCTCTGTAGGCAGCATATCGGATCTAAAATTCTCACTTTCACGCCGTCCGCTTCAGTTTTATATTTTACCCCTCCTGCAAAAATGATGCATTACGTGTTGACCACATGAAACGTCACTTCCACCGTCCATTGCGTGCAATTATTGTTAAATTTTTAACAACTTTATTAATTTTTCACGAGATTGCACCGACTGAGACCAGCGATTTAAATAATCTAACGTAAGTTTGGAGAGTAATTACTTGTTTCAAACGTTCCCTATATGTATGACAATGTTAATTGTTTTCCCGAGGTTACTTCGATCAGTAACAAATTATTTCTGTCATGTTATCAACTAATTGGTCACATCATCATATACTTCATATTATTATTAAGAGAAGATCTGATAAAAGGTTGTTAATCCATGAGTGGCACTCTTAGATGCTGTTGTAAAGCCATTGTAATTAAATCTTTTTCAAATAAGGATCAGGACAAAAAATATTCAAGATTTCATAAGTGTATAAAGAAGGCTGAATTATGAAGCGACACCTGCTCCCTTCCCCTCATCCTCTTTCCGTCTCCCTTCTCTAAATTCAGGAAAAATCTGTCTAGTGGTCAAAGATCGTGTGCATTCTCACAAAAGGGATTAAAATGAGGCCGAAACACGATCTTCATTTGATGGAGGGGAATTAATCCATGAAAGGACTCGGAAAGTCCATAAATATCTGTAAAATCCGCGAGAGGATTCTTAAAAATAGCAATCATAGAGTGTTTTTGCAGAAATTTAATGGATGACATAGGTGTATCATTGTCAGAAATAGTCGAGGTGCGTGGTTGTGGCCTAAACGATGATGAATTGCTTGCATTAATTATCATTAGCTGTGAAGTGCTTACTAAGACACCTGCAGGGGTATTCTCCCCCGAGCACGTCATTTTACACACTGATGGTGAACTTGAGGTTTGCATTTGGTCTATTCATTAATTCCATGTTCTTCGAAAAGTATGCAAAAATTATTCTAGAAAGCTTTAAAAACCATCTTTTATAATGAAATGATATAATGTTATATTTAGACATTATAGACAATTTCACGTTGTTTAATAATTCTTTGGTGTTTTCTCAGATAAAATCCGTCTCGAGAGATAAAGTAAGCAACGAATATGTGCCTCCTGAAATGAAAGAAGGCAATACTGATGTTGATCCTGGTATTAATTTTATATATTTATATACGTTTACATATATTTTTTTCAGACCTTACTGAGTTACAAAAATTCCTTGCTAAAGGAAGAGTTTGATAAAAAGTATAGACTTGGGCTCTTTTAGATTTCAATATATCTCTACCAGTCTTTATTGAATTATAATCATTTGACGTTATTATTAAATCTTTTTCGTCTAATTATCTGTGAGAAAGATTCTTGTTCCTTACCATTTGCATTAATTGGCAAGCTTCAACATAAGTTGTCTAGAATGTAGCTGAAAAATCCGGAATTTTTTTCTCTGTGATTTGCAGTTTCATAAATGCTGAGAATGTACTAAATCTTTGCAGAAACGTCCCAATTATTTATTCCGATACAGCACAAGTGGTTGGTTTTTTAAGAAATATACCAGTCAACTATTCATTTGGTCATTTTTTTGTTCGCTTTTTAATGCTAATCTCTGCCATTGTTTAGGTGCCGTGCATGTATACTGTCTCGGAGAAGTTATTCGATTTGCTGGTGGTGCTGAATCAGACAATGCAGATTTGTTTTCCTTGTTAAACGTAATGACGGTGGCTCATATTGCTACACGGCCATCCGTCACTCGGTTTGTTTGCTGTTTCACTAATCCTTGCGGTACTCTAAACTTACTTTCTACGACTGTAAGCTATTGTCATTTCCATGTTTTTACTGGAACATTATTTGCAATTTTTTTATCCTAGAGATGGCGTATTTTCTGGAGAGTTCAGAACGATTGAAAGAATGTATAACTTATTCCCCTTATAAAATAATTACATTTTCGTTTTTTCGAATTTTAAATTATTTCTGATTATCAAGCAACAAATCTTCATTGCTTTATTTTTTCCTTTCATAAGAAACAAAAAATCCCCATGTTGGAAAACTTTGTTATACGTAACCTTTCAGGTTGTATATATTCCTGCCGTATTCCTTTCTTTTCGGTACACATTCGGGTTGTGTCCCTCATATTTGCAGGAAAAACTTAATTTTTTTAAATTTTTGGAGGCTTGGACAAATGGCTAAAAATAAGCTTACAATTCAAAATCCAAAGGCTTTGCTGGCAGAAATGTATATCTTGGTTATGGGTGACGAAGCGGAGGATATCGATGATGTAAGTGACGTCTACTTTAAGTTTCAGTGCAATATTTGTCCAGATAGCGCATATAAAAGTTTTTAATCGCGATCAGTTGGATGAAAGCAGTGGGTTTGATATCTGATATGAATTGGAATGCATGCACAGGCTTTATCTTTAGGTTACACATGGAAAAAAAGTGCAAACCTTGTGCGTGTTAGTGTTTTCTTTTGCTATGATGAATATTCTTTATTTCAGTTGGACATTTCTTCTGGTGAATACATGCCAAATTCTCTTGATGAAAATGGTGGTTTGAGGAACTTAAAGTGGGACCAAACTGGAACAACCATGGTGTCGTAACCTTAGATGTTGGATTATAACTGGAAATGAAAAATACATATTATAGGAATTTTTATGGATTCTTGAATGTTGATGCATAGCATTCAAATTATAGTTTATGTTTTATGAAAGTTTTCTTTGTTTGGTTTTTGGGAAACCTTGAATTACTATGACCATGTTATTTTAGGGTGTCACCTGTGATCGGTCTAGAAAAGTGACACATGCAGATCCATTTGATGGTGTAGAAACCGATATTTGGAAGTTGTCAGGGAGAAATCCATTTAATTCAGTAAAAGTCGCATATGAAAAAGTATTGCCAGAAGCAAAAATTGTAAGTGTGAATTTGTTTATCCCATCTAATAAAGCTTTGCTGAAGAACTGATTTACAAATCACTTCTGCGTCCAAGTTTGACACTCCTTTCCTTATTCTATGTCAGTTCTTAATTCGAAAAATGGGTAGTCCGTCTTTTTCAGTCGAATTCCCTTGGGAAAACCTGATCTCTCACAGAAGCAACTTCCTCGTAGTATCCTGGTGTTGCTGGGTTTTTTGTTTAGATAGTTAAAGTAGAAATGGTGCAGCAGTGCAAGATGAATAAATGGCGAAAGTAATGAATAGAAATTCACAACCTATTCTCAACTTTCTTTAGAATATAAAATCCGTATGTTTAACTGATGGGGCGGATACAACATTACAGTGTTTTTTTATGTTATCTTTAAAAATATGATGATGCCCCTTTGCAGGGAAGCAGTCCATTACAAGAAGAGAAGCAGCAAAAGTTATCTGTAGGTAAAATTGAAGTGCTTTTGGAACAAAGTGAAGAAGAGGAAGGAAAACCAGTATTTGAGAGCAGTTTGTTAACGAAATCTCTTTCTTACAATTTTGATGATGATATTGTGGAATATAGAGAAGAAAATGTTTCTTCTGATGAACTGAGCTCCACACTAATACTTCTTCCTGAAGGACATATTGACAAGGTTAGATTTTATTAGTGTGTTGACATTAATGGTTACCATTTGATAAATGATTAGACTATCAAGCCTTAGTTTTATGTGACGTAATGTACTTACTGGAACATTGGATGGCTCTTTTACATTTATATTGTAAGGGGTTAGCAAGGACATTGTTATCAAGAATGAATTTACATAATTTTTTAATACTGTTTAAAAGCTTTAAACCAGATTGTGTTAATATCTTTTAAGAAGAGTTTAATTTAAGGTGGACGAAAATTTGGATTATGATGGTCACAGTCTTCTTGCTACTAATGTCATTCACGAATGTAATGACTCTTTGTTTTCGGAGGTTAGTGAGAAAGCAACACTTTTTATCATCTCAATTATTAGGGAACTTGGATAAGAAACTCAAAAAGTATATTATCATTTTTTTATCCTTACACTGATTTGTGAAGTTTAATGTAACGAGAGGTGTGTCATTCATTTAACATTCACTCACTGCATACCTTTTTAGGTTGACGAAAGTCAAAAAATGATTGGATCTACAGTTCTTTCTTCAGGCGGCCAAAATGTATGTTCGATGTAGTTTCACAATTTTTCGTCCATCGATTCAATTTGCCGTAGGATTGTTTGTTTTCTTGACAGCTTCCCTGCGAATGTAAAAGCGAGCCAATCCATATCACTGCCATTTTTATCCTTAGCTCTTCTGTTATGCATGAAATCATTTTATTATCTGTTTAGAATATTGATGGACAAAATTTACTCGGAGAACCTATTTGTGAGTCACTGTCCGGTAATAAAAATGAGGACGTGCCAATGGTTGTCTTAGCAAAAAAAGTAAATTATTTTCATAAAATATTCTGAGAAAGGGATTTTTTGGCTATGACATCTTTACTGACTCTAATATAGGAAAATGAAAAAGCACGGACATCGCCAGTTTTGGAATCTAGAGTAAAAGGATTGGCTCCAATACTGGAAAATGGAAAAGAACGGCTATCGCCAGTTTTGGAATCTAGAGTAAAGAGAATCGTAGTCACAAAAGAAGCATCTGTTGGCTCAGTTGCAGCTGGTTGGTTGATTATTCTTATTATTTTTTTGATCTAATCGTATTATAACTTGTTGCGGTTAAGTGTTGATATTTTTGTGATACTTTGATTTTTCTTATATTGTACCCCCAAATTTATTTGCCTTTTTCTGGGATACTGCTGCTGGTATTGTGATGTATATTCAGATTTTATTGTGATGGTTGAAAATGGTCATGAGGAAGCTTTATTGCAATATTGACTAAAGCTTAAAACATTGGGTTCTGGTCTATATTTAAAATGCTGGCTCTTGTATTTCTGAACTGTTTTTAGAACAGCAATTCATGAGAAGAAATTCGCTTTTGCCAAATAGGATAAGTGGGCGGAAGTCTTCATCGAAACATTTTAAGCGAAGGGTAAGAACATACTATATTCTTGATTTAATATATTCATGGTTAACCAAATCAAACCAGACGGCCTCTTTTGATATTTGTATTATGTCACCAATGACAGTTTATTTAATACAGAATATCAAAAGGCAGTTTATTTAATACAGAATATCAAAAGACTAATTTATCAACTGGCGTCGTATATCATTTCTAGGGAATCTGTGCATGGTTCTTTTGGTCTTCAGTAGCCCCACTATTGGAGGATATGCTGTACAAAACTGCTGAAAGTCCTAATAATTCACTTTGAATTATAGTTACTTTGCCCCGATCTTTTTTGAACGGAAACATTTTTTAAAGCATTGATTTGAGTTTTTGCGAAAGTTCATATTTTTATGTCTTTAATTTCAGTTGAAAGCCGAACCAGAGTTTGTAAGAAATGCAAATACGTCATCCATATGTTTGAAAGCACCTGCTCAAAGAAAAGTTATTATTTTATGCAGATATAGTCTTATACATTTGCAGTGTACATTATTGCTCTATTGCATATCTTATAAAAGCTTTGTGTTTTAGGAAAACTTTCGTTCTGAAGCATTCAATGTAAAATAATGAAATAAGGAGTGTGACACGGAAAAGCTTTATCATTATGATGGAGTAGCCTACAGCAAATATTTGAGAGGAGTAAAGAGGAGTAGATTATTGTATTACTTGAATCAGGTGTATTCGTTTAACAAATGATCCGTAATGTTCGATGTTTTTTTTTTTTTCTGCAGAAAAAAGTGACGCTGCACAGAATTGAACATACGGACGTAACTGTTGAGCTGCTTAGTGGGAAACATGTTGAAGTGAGCTGTCGTTCAGATGCTGTTGCATCGGAAATTGCTGATGTTGTCATGAGGCACATGAATTTCAGTGAGAACTCGTTCTTTGGTTTGACTATACTGAGAGGTATGTTTAACTTATTTTGTGTTTATTTCGCAGTTGGCGTCATAATGAAGCGTCCTCCTACAAGGGAATTACCGCTAGACCGAATGATTTATTGTTATCATAAAAATTGCTTAGGATATATTGTCATAAAACCGAAATATTGTAATTCTCCATGTATATTATATTTTACTAACCTCTTCAAGAGTGAAATTGTCCTACATACCAAATTTATGTTAGCTCTGTAGATGGCGAGCATTTCTTTTTGGATGGTCATCAGCGTCTGGAAAAATTTGCACCACCAGGGTGGAAAAATGCAAGACAATATGGATCATCCAGAAGGCTTTATATGTTATTTCTACGCTTTCGATATTATCCAGCATCAGTCGCTTTTATGCGGTTTGTTTTCATAATATAAAAAGTTATTCCATTTTAAGGTGTGATGCGAAGAAAAAAATTCTTCCATCATGCTGAATGTGTTTCTTAATCTTTTCCGTTTCTGTGTTGCCTCACTTTTTATCATTTATAGGGTTTCTTATTGCTGCACTTTTTATAACTGTCGCTACATTCGAGATATGTGATTACTAGATTTGAAATAAAGCTTACCATATCAGATTATTCTCATTTAAAAAAAAAAAAAAAATGAGTGGACCGTTTCAGAACTGAAGTTGTACTTCATGAATTATACTTACAATTGCGACGAGACATTTTGGATGATCGCATTCAACCGAAACGTGATTTATTGTATGATTTAGCTGCATTTGCTTTGCAAAGCGAATACTCTGATCAACCTAATGTAACAGTTTTGGACTACTTTGATCTGCGACATTATATACCGAAGGTCATACTTTAATTTTTTTTAGAACTTAATATTTTATTGTTAGTATCTCTGTAATATTTATTTATTCATCTTCGCGATTTGTGTTGAGATACTTTTGGACAACCTATAAAGTCTTTTATCCCTAACTTTTTGAACCTTTAATTGTTATCGAATTATCATTTATTGATAGCTCTACCTCTTTTAAATCTATTTCTGTAAACAAGTCTGTACCGTTCGATAATAATAAATTATTTCAAATTTCCACGACGGAAATGAATGTGTTAGGGAGGGTTAAATGAAGGGGAAGGAGAGATTTAGTAATCAAAAAAATAAGCTTTTTCAATGACTGTTGACTTCAGATTGGCATGTATTCATGCACCAGCTATTTTGTTATGGTATGTTTTCACTTTAGAGATATTTGGATAACTGCAACGAAGAAGCGGTAATCAAAAATGTGGTCGAGAGGCATGGAAAACACCGCGGAATGAAGCAACAGGATGCTGAGAAGCGCTTTATTCTGGTGAGTCTCGTGTGTTTATTTCCTGATGCATTGCATAGTTTAGGATATATTGTAAAGCTTGAATCAGTATTTCTGTGATATTTCTCGACACTTCACTAACTTCATCAACTGCTGTATGATGGTGAAATAAGATAGTTGAATTCGTTCGTTTCATATTTCAGCACATTATGAACCTTGCAGAATATTCAAGGTTTTTTTACTTGTCTATGGGAAGTCAGCGGCAAGCTAGTATTGAAAAATGTAATCTGCTTTAATTCAGTGTCAGTAGCATAAGTGATTTGTTTCTCTTAAAAATTTATGCATTCATCCAAAAGGTTGAACCACTTAGATGTTTTTGGCCAAACTTACATAATTTCTTCGGACTTTCTTGTTGAGCAATGAATTCTTGTTGTTGTATTTGCTAGTTATGTCAACGGTTATTTGATTATGGTGCTCATTTGCATCGTGTATTCGCATCCAAACCATCAATAAATCTTGGCAATACACCCCTTGGTGATCCTGAAACTGGAGTGGCGCAATGGATTGGGATTATGACACGTGGTATTGTACTTTTCGAAGAAGAAAGGTTTTCATTGACTTTTTGGTCTTGAAATAATGAAAGCATTCGGAATGATTTTTGCTAGTTCCTTATATTATTTCAAACTGCTTTTTAGTAGTGGTCGGCATGTTCAGATAGAACACCTTTGGCAAAATACGCAAACTTTACAATTTGATAAAAAGCGCTTCGTGATTGCCTCCGAAATCCATGAACCGTCTATCAATATCTTCTATACCGATCATTATACAAAGTATGCGTGGAAAGTTGGTTTTGTACAGCATGCACTTATGTTTTGTTAGGTTGTGAGAAGTGCTTTGCTTCGTAGTATTGTTTTTTAATTCTGTGCAGTATTACATATCCATGTAGTTCAGCATTTTTTTGCAGAAGTGCCTATTTTGTCCGTTTTGCGGCTTCACAGCATCGCTTTATGATAAAAATGCGGCAGTGGAATCATACTTTAAGACGTGATAGTCCTTTTCAGTTCCGTAGAATGCCGGATGTTGGCGCAGACACTAATTTTATGGAAGAGGTTCTAGTTGTATTGTTCTTCCTAAATTATTGAGCATACTGAAAACAGTTTTTATCATCCTAAATCCATGTTGTAATACAGATGAAAGAACCATGAAATGATTCACTTCATTGATGAATTCAGTTATCCAGATTTGCTTTTTCCATGACAAGTTTAATTCTGTCGAGAGTATGACTTATCGTTTGTTAAATAATATTTTGGTTTAAAGTATTGTGTTTTACTGTGGTGCATCTTCACTAGGATTTTTTATTAATTTATAAAATTTATAAGGTAATATAATGTGAGCAACTATACTGTAACAACACCAGTCGAATAGGATCTATTAATATGGATCATCAAATATGGTTAAGAATATTTTGAACTGTTACATAGCTGTGTGAAAATGATAATTCTCAATTTAATCTTATCGTTGTAGGTAGCACCGGTGTATTATATGAATTCTTCTGATATAACAAACATGCCGGAGCGTGGTTTTACACGAACCAGTAACCAATATTCCTCAAACGATGCCTTCTCAAAGAAATATGCAGAGACTATACATAGCTCCAATTTGAGACCGAGGATGAGTTCAATAAGTAATGTGTTTAAGTATTGAAACGCCCTCGGTTTATATGCCTGTTATGCTACTCATTGATTACTATTATTCATTTAGTGTGAAACTTTGCGGTCTTCAAAATCTCTTTTTGAGTGAAATCTTATCCATGCAGGTGATGAAATTTCGGAACAGATTTCTCCTGAAGAATTCGTTGAGAGTGGTGATGGATATATTTTGGAAATTTTGCTGGAAAAAGATCGAAATACTGGGCTTGGTTTAACGTTGGTCGATGGTAATCTGAATGGTATAAAAGGTGTATATGTGAAGTCTGTATCAGAAGGTGGTGTTGGAAAAAAAAAAAAAAAAGGAGTTAGTTAATGTTCCGAAACTTCTATGTCGTATCTTTTTCTTAAATGTGGTATTGTGTTATGTTCTTGATTTAACTTTTGAAAATTTAGGGAGTGAATGTTGGTGATCGACTACTAAGTGTCAATAACGTGTCACTTATTGGTAGGGATAGACATGTAACTGTCGATTTAGTGAGAAAATGTGGCAATTTTGTCCATTTGAAAATTTTTAGGTAGGTTTTTTCTTTTTTTTTTTTCCCATAATCATGAAATATAAGTTTCTATTGTATTACGTGGCAACATGAGGGTATATCGTTTGTTTTGGTCTTTCATTGAGCTTGCAGAATATGGCAGTTATCCCCTCTCTACTGTTTCCCGTGCGATAAGATTAATTTGTAGATATACTCTATCATTTCTTGTTCTTTGTATTTTTTCGAGGTTACAGATGACTATGACGGCACCATTAACTTGCACAAAATCTTCAAATTTGTTAATCCTTTTCTTTTCAAGAAGACTTTAATTTTAACCTAATATTCATTACTCTTTTCACTGTTTTACACCTGTTTGTTGTTAAGCCGTACTTATTGAGAAATATTCGCATTCTCTGATGACTGACTCTGTTAACTAGTTTAATATCACAAGCTTTCGTAATACTTTTCATAATTTCCAAGTTATAACTTCGTTTTGTGAATTAGAAGTTATCTTACAATTTTTTAAATAAAATCCAATATTTTAAGGTTAGAAGCGGTAACATCTGCACTTGCTTCTGGTATTATTAAAGACAAAACAGCGATTGACGATCAGAAAGGGTATAAAAATCATTCACTCTCTGTTAGTGAAGGTTGGTCTATTTCGGTGACTAAGGTTCTGTAGTTTATATATTCTTGACACCATAACCTATTTCGCGATTTGCAGGACTGAGATCAAGAACGCCACCACCGCCAAGAAAGTATTCAAATACCTTGAAGAAACGTATAAGAGCTGTTAGTGACTTTGGCGCTGTTGGTGACACTTTACCGGATTTAAATAGCGAAGATTTATTATCAAACCTTAGAAATGAATCAAAATTAGGGTAAAATTCTGTCATATCTTTCTTATTGTTATTGGGAAAGGAATTTATAAGAGAAGGAAATTGGAATGGTAATTTCTGCTTTATTTTCGGAGCAAAGACGGTGGTTTTCATAGAGCCGTTTTTTTAATGTAGGTGTCGGAGAAAAAAACTTTTATTCTGAAAATGTTTAGCTAGTTAGATTTCATTAATATGGAGAATCCAGTTAGCTTCTGTATCATGAACTGTTAAATCTCACTTCGTAGTAAGAGAAAATTTTAAAAGATCATAGTTTGAACTGTTTAAAATGAGGTAGCAACCAGTCATTCGAAAATTTTCTAAATGTAACTGCTTAGGTATATGTTAGTTTATTATCAGTGCTAATGATTGTTATTATTTTCAGATATTTACGACCAGAGACTTCGTTGAATGACGAGGTTGAATGCAGAATGCGATATGAAGTGCCGGTAGTATCCATGTACAAATTCGAAGGTATTGATGATGAACTGATAGAACATTCTCCAAAACGATGTAGTACAACGCCATATTTTCCATTTAAAGCGAGTGAAAATGATTGGGTAAAAGTAGCGAAGAGTGATAGTGACCAACAAAAAAGCTCATTCAACAACTGGAAATCAGTGCAGGATTATAGGTATTGCGAAAATTTTTTTTTGTACTTTACAGGAAGTTATCGAATGGAAATAATTTTACATAGTTCCAGTACTTCTAGAAAGAAGCCAAATCTTGATTGGGCTGATGACCTGGATGATATTGTGGAACCGCTTCCCTCCGATGTTTCGATGATCACTCTCGAGCGTAATGAATCTGGTAGCCTTGGTTTTCAAATTGCATCTAGCGGAGGTATTGTGTATGTAAAGCAAATTACTGCAGAACCTGCACTTTCATGTCCTGATATTCAAGTGGGAGATAGGATTATATTGGTTTGTTTTAAATTCGATGTTAGCTTCAAGTTTTTTTTTTTTTTTCTAAACTTTTTTTCTTTTTTTGAGATGTTTAGGATTTCATTTACTTTTTTTTCAACTTAAATATATTGTGACGAAAAAAAAAAGAAAACATTTGTTGGACATTTTTATTGTATAATACATGTGTTTTAGAGTTTTTGTTGCAGGTAAATCATGAGAAGGTGCAAAACCTAACGCATCAGCAGTTGGTAGATCTATTAAGAAAGAGTGGTGAAAGAGTGATAATAGGCTTGCAAAACTCAAACAAAGAAGTACGTGCTTGTGATGAAGGCGAACAGACTGTACGAGTTGTTTTGGAGAAATCTCATACTGGTTCGCTTGGTCTGAGCTTAGCGAAGAAGACTGGTTTTGATGGTATCTTACCAATTTTGATACTTATTATTCCTAGTTTTTAATTTGTTTTATGTGTCATCAATATGGATGCCGATTTTCTATCGTTTTCATTCTTTGAACAGAAAAGAGTTTTCGTATATCCAGTTTTAGAAATTGTATTTTTATAAAGGATTTGTTTCTTTTCTTTTTATAGATTTATTTTAATGTTCTTTCAATTTTAGAATAAGATTTGTATAAATTTAACAACTATCACTATTTTCCATTCATAGAATGTCACTGTATTTTGTCCTTCGAAAGAGAATCAAAGTCCAGATGGCTGAATCATATTTTGCTATATTCCACTGGTTTAGCATGAAATATTTTAGGAATTTACATCCGAATGATCAGCAGTGGTAGCGCTGCGGATATTGATGGAACACTGCATATCGGTGATAAAATTTGGAAAGTCAACGGTCAATTAGTAAATAGTTATACACCTGGTGCTATCGTTGATTTATTAAAAGCTACAAATAATCCCGTAGAAATTATTGTAAAACGAGCCATCATCAAGTAATTAGTTTGTAATCTTAAATTTATTTCCTGTCGCGTTAGTTTTCACAGATTTCAGTCTTCTATTAGTTATAGTGATATTACTAATCAGGTTTTGTAGTAATGGTAATTGTCCTTTTTTTTTTCACTCAACTCATTTTGCTTCATTCTTTTTCATGCCTCTGTTAAGCTCTCTAATTTGTAGATGTAACATGTGTTATATTATTGATGCTACCACTGTGTATGTGAAACTTTTCATATGTTATGCATTCCTTTTTCATTGATGTTGCATGATGGAATTCATAATATTGTATGCTATGCGCAATGTTATTTTATATATAATTTATCGTCACCATTTCAATAACCATTATCTGTTTTAACTTACTGCATCCGGAAAGATGGGTTTTTATGTATTTACTGATTACAGTTTCTTGGCTTCAAATTATCAATGAATTATTTGAATGGATGTTATTTATTGTTGCTGTATTATATCAAACATTTTATTGTCTTGATTTCCTGTTTGAAATTTGCTATTAGATTATCCAGAGCGGTATGTTGAATTTTCCAGTTGCCAAATAGCATATTTTTCTAGGTAGTGATTTGTTTTCCTTAATTTATCCGGTCAAAAATTTGCTCAACTAAGACATTTTTGCAAGTTAAAACGATGTCTCTTCTTCATTATTTTGATGTTTCTACCTTTATTAGCAAACCTTTCTGTGATTACATGTTAGGCTTGGAGTGTACTTTGTGTGGCAGTGCAGGTTTATTTATGTATGCAATTCGACAATGTATTTGTAGCGTTCCGATGTACAAAAAATTGTGTAGCTACCGAAAAGCGAAGTTCTTTTTACCATTTGTCCTCAAGTTGATGGATTCATGGCGAAATTAATTAGTAAGGATAACCGTTTTGTCACCAATTAAAGTATAGTGAACTCTACTACATCTCTATGTTTTTTGCAAATTTTAATGGTGGCTTAAGTGATTATTATTTCTTCAATGCAGTACAATGTGTTCTACACATATATGTGTTTGGTTGCTCAGTACCTTTCTGTATAAAAAAAGCGTATCATCTGCTTGTAACAGAGCTTCGGTATTTGATCGTCAGTGGATACTGTGAATTCAATATCTCAGCCTTATTATTTCAGCAAGATGAAAGGCAAACCAATCAGGGTTCAAATGAAAGGATGGAAATTGGTGAACCAAAACATACGAGGAGAATGACCGTCAGCATGAATCTTTAAGCTCCTATGCTGATTTCTCACTTTTGTGCATTTGCAACAGTTAGCCTTGGTTCGTGTTGTGAGGCGTGACAGTTTAGTAAACTTTTTCAATTAAAGTCAATTGTTGATTGTGCTTGCAGAATAATTTGTATGGTAGAACTGTTCTGTTCCTCAACAAACTGTTGTGGGATTCTGTGAGAATGCTTTTATATAATTTTTTTACTCTCTCGATACTTTTTAGACAATACCTAGTAGAACTGCTCACATTAAACTATTAAAATAAAATTGTTTAAATTTCGAGGTTATCGCTTGGCTCTTTGCATATTTTTTTCAGTTTCTCCTATTCGTTGCATTTCTTTTTTGTAGATTCATCATCACCACGTCATCTCTCCTTTATTTACCACCTTATCAGCGTTTGTATTATTATTTGCAGTGATGATAATTGAGACGTTCTCGTAGGCTTGTTACTGTTTATATGTAGTTTATTTTCGATATATGAACTAGATACAGCATTTCTCCGTTCTTGAAATTTCATTCCTTACTACTGAGTGATTTACTTGTCATGTTCTCATTTTCCTGTTCTCTTTGGAAGTAATGAGTAATGATAGAGGGAATATTCATACTATGATGCTACTCATTTTTCTGGTATACAAGCACCTATAATTTCCTTAGCAAGTGTTTAAGTTGCAACTTCCTTTTTTTTTCCTCCGTTTATTTAATGTATTCATTTCCATTTACTGTAAAGTTGCATACATATTGACAAATACATATATATTGCTTGGATGGCTTTAATAATTCCTATGTGATTAAGTGTTATATATATATATATATATTGAGTGCACTCAGAAACGCCATTTCTAATCTCACTTCTATTAAAGGCTAATGTTTCACGCCTCTAGATACTTGCCGAACTTTTTTTCATCTGCATTCTATATTCTAACCGGCTGCTCCCTGAATGAATTAACTTAAAATCTACGTAAACAATTAAATATGATGACTTTTGTCGCAAAAACTATATATGAACCGACGGTAAAAAAACGTACATTCGCAGAGGTGACTAAGAAAATTTGAGAAAAATACCGGAACTAAAAGCTAAACACGTAAAGCTAAAACTGAAATTTAGATATAAGTGTCGAAAGTGATATACATGCAACATCATGAAAACCAAATGTTGACTTCAAAACTGAAAGACTGCCAACTACAAAGTACCTGTTATGAAAGTCATGCTGCTGCTGATACTAAGACACATCTCCATCTTAAATGCAAAACACTGCGAACAACCGTTTTGAAAAAAAAATCTAGAAAATCATCCTTAAATTCATATACATCTTTGATGAATAAACACCCATAACATTAGAGATTCAGTGAGCTGCTGTAGATGACTTTACTGATACTTCATTTTTACCGAACTGGAAAAGTAATGAAATAAGTTGAAATCCAAATCCAAAAATTATAAGACGAAAGTGTTACGACCAGTACGAAGTCTGTTGCCAGTAATGTGGATACATTTTTCTCAGGATTAAGTATAGCACAGTACGCGCGTATTCTAAACTAAAGGAACAATTCTGTAGAATGGATTTATCTGTAATAATCCAAAAGCTGTCCCATCAACTCCAACATGACAAGTGTGGTGAATGTCACCTTGAGGTTCACTTATCAACAACTTCTTATGGCTATTCTTGTCTTGTGTTTCTTCTTTATCATGGAGAGAGATTTTTGAATGTGCTAAAAGGGGAACTGATGACAAGTACTGATTGCATTTGCTGTTCGGCAATTCGATGGCAAGCTTTGCAACTGTTTCTTCGGGTCTAAATAAACCTGTTCGACCATTCCGCATGTATCCACGCCAGAAGTAGCCATCTGGATATGTCGAAGGACTGAAACTTCAATCTAAATCACCGGAAGTCTTAACTAGAGTAAGGTAGGGATTAACATCTGATCTACAATGAGAATACACACTAGACACCTGAAATCTGTCTAAGAATGCCATCACATAACAAACACAGGAAGAAATCATTGCTCGACTAAAAACACAAACTAATTACTAACCACTTATCAAGCACAATTATGGTTTCATTCTTTAAATACTGGAGGTGGTCAATGATTCCGTCACAGCAAGATGCCACAGTAACTAGACACTGAGGCATGATTTCTGGAAGTTCGCGGACGATGTCAGTAAAAGAAGGACGTTCTTCCGGTTTGTGAGTCCAGCATTGAATCATGAGTTCATAGAATTCACGTGGACAAGCGTCTGGACGTTCCAATCTTTGTAAATTTGGATAGTCTATTGCTGCTAATATCTGAAAAAGCAATGTGCTGAAGAGGCTATAATAAAGAAAACAGAAAATTTTGAACAATCTGAACAAAGGACTAGTTAGAGAATATCCCAGTACGATCCATATTATTGGATTTTTTTTCCAAGTAACCTCACTGAAAGACGAAACAAAAATAACCTGTGCACCGCTAAAGCCAGCCCATGGCATCTGACCGAAAGAAAATATTTCAAATAATGTCACACCATATGACCAAACGTCACTGGCAGACGTAAACTTTAGGTAATTAATGGCCTCAGGGGCACACCACGCGATCGGTAGTTTTACTGCTTCTGAAAATTCGCTTCGATAATAATGTTCGCCCATGCCCAAAAAACGGCTTAATCCAAAATCCGAAATCTTCACCTGCAATTAGCTGCAGAATTTAATATATGGCACTCTCAACAAATGTGTTAATATTTATTTCACCATCGTTTTACCATTGTCTCTTTCACTTGTTCTATATCACCCTATTTTCACTCCTTAAACATATCAGCCTTCATTTTCAAGAAGATAAAGAGAACAAAGGAAACGTCCTTTCACAATCTAATGTATGTTATAATGAAAAAGCATCCATTTACCCTTTCAGTAGAAAAAACAAGAACATTGCGTGCTGCAAGGTCACGATGAATAAGTCGTTCATCTGATAGGTACTTCATGCCCTGCGCAATTTGTACCGAAAATTTACAAAGTGTATCCATAAAAAATGTAGCACGTAGAAGGCACTCCAGTAATGATCCACAAGGTGCCAATTCAGATACCTGGACGAATGTAATTGAAATAATTCAAGCAGATACTAATATATTTTAAAACTGAACGAAGGAGTGAAAAAACAACAGAAAAATCAGTATAATAAATGACGCTGCCTTTTTAGATGATGAATATTTATTGTGAAAAAAAAAAAAAAATCTATTTCCCCAACCAAAAACCAACCAACATAACTGCTTTAGTATCCAATACTACACCATAAAGTCTGACAACACATTCATGATCCATCTTGCGTAATACTGCGACTTCTTGCAAAAAATTACGAGGATTGGCAAATAGTTTTTGAGGCAAAATACATTTCACAGCTACCTGAAACAGAGATTTACAAGCTATATTAAATTAGCCGTCATCTTGTCAGCAGTATGTAAACTTCTAGTTGAAAATGAGAAAACCAAGAGTTCTTATATTTGAGTCTCCTTAAATAGCTCATGAACGGCCATATGAGACATAAATTGAACAAATATATCATATGTTATATCGAATGACCGACTTAGTGATTCTCGTGATTTAAAATCCAGTGGTAGTAAAATTATGCGTAGCAAATACCTGTATTTGCTCATTGTTATTCGAATTATTCCAAGTGGCTTGATAAACAGATCCGAACTCTCCTTTTCCCAATTGCTTGGATAAAACGATATTTTCCAGAGGTATAACGTGCTGCTCTTGGTAATTCGATGAATGTTCTTTTTTCTTTAGCCTTCCTAAAAAAAAATACAGATACTTTTTATATTATTGAAAAGTGTCAAAAAAGAGAAGAAAATAACTTGGGATTCAAGCTTATGAATACCCCAAGGACGTAATAATGAGAAGTACTACTACTGATGAAATATCATAATTTGTCAACTAACGTAATAATGAGAAGTACTACTACTGATGAAATATCATAATTTGTCAACTAATGGAAACTGAAGTAAGAAATATGAACGAAAGTGATGCCTTTGCCAAGGATCTTCCTTCGTAACTTTCCCATAATCGAAGACTTGGAAAATCTCCGACAGCAAACTTCTTGCAAGCGTTTTTGCTCCGGTCTGCTCATACCAATTTTGTTCAGGTCTTTCTCATCCACATAACTCATATCAGCTGCATTACGTAACCTCAGGACCGTTCGCATGGAATATTCATAACTGAAATAACTTAACTGAGATTACCTACAAACATACTCCTTATTTATCACAAGAAGTTATTGATCTTACATCACACACTAATTCTTAGAGAAGCAAGTTTCTTGAAATCATATACAGTTTTCCACAATCCACAAGTATTAATCAACTAATTATTATTTTAAAATGGTCTACGATCAATTAATAGAACTTTACAACTTTGACGAATTTAATTTGAGGTTAACTTCTTGTCTAATTTTACATAGTTTAATCTATAAGTAATGTATTTTAATTGGATACGAAGTGGGAGCAGCTTTGTCGTATTTAATATCATCACTCATCAATTTGGCTGCTTGCGACTGTTAAGCTTAAAAGCAAATGAAAGGAAAAATGCACCACAACAAATCGGCTTCATATAATAATTCCGAAATGGTGCACTGTTCCGCTGCCATCATCCTTTCAGCACTTTTATTGATTGTAAGTTGTGAATAATCTCTGTACAATCCAAAATTTCCAATAGCTAATCTACAACATCCTGAAAACAAAAGATCAAAGAAGCTAAGGTTTTAAATCATAAAGTTGATGGCTAATTTTAATTGACAGAATTTTTCAAAGCTTCCATATTCGGTCATTCTACTCCTCCAAAATGACAGAGTTTTTCATAACAAAAGAAAAAATTCCTTTTCCTGCATTCTAAATATCAAAGATGAAAGTGAACAAGCAACAATAAAACAACCACTAGCAGAACAGGTATACAATAAGTCTAATACAGGGACAATATTCAAATGAGCAAACTATTCATTATTAAAGGTCGTTCGTAGGTTTTCTTTCTACTTATGCTAGTTCATGGAGATGTGTAGAGTACTAACCTTATATTTCAGGCACTGAAATGTTAGCAGAGAAATGGACAAATCATACGGATTTCAATTCCAATGGCCATTCCCAAAGAATCCTAATGCTTTGTATAGATTTGCTTCCAAGGCTACTCTCATCGCGGTTCTCTCAGCGTGCAAACTTATCTTCTCATTAAGTATGTTTCTATTTATGCAAAAATGATATGATATTCATAGCAGCATGTTTTGGCAGTTTTTGTGTCTTACTATGCTTTTAGAAGGTGCGTCATTTCGCGACGTATTAAAACGATTTTTGAATATGATAATTGTGATTGAATGGTCTTGTTCTGTTGTTAACGGATTGCGGATTTTTTGAAGTTATAATAACTTCAGACATGAATCATATATCAGTAATTAATAAAAATCGACTTCTGTCTGCTCTGGAAAATAAGTCAAGACCGTTGATCACTATATCAAATCATCGTAGTAACATGGATGATCCTTTAATTTGGTGTAAGTGTTTAATATGTAAACGAAGAATTTAATGACCAAACGCTGCAAATAAGAAATTTTATTTTATTAGTTGAGATTTCATCTTACTTAATTCTTCGGCACTAAATCCCTAATGATGTTTCATTTTTCCACTTAGGTCTGTTCACGTGGCGTGAATTCTTCTCCAACATATCAAGATTTCGGTATACTTTGGCAGCACATAACATATGTTTCACAAAAACATGGCATACTTGGTTAGTACTTTATTCTATTTTTTTTTTTTTAAATAAATTTCAGGTTATGCTAAATACTAAATTCATTTCCTTATGTAATAAGTTGTGGCATACATTCAGAGTGATGTCTAGAGGCTAGTTAAATACATTTCCGAACTTATTAAATTTTCAAGATTCCATATGAAAGGCTCATTAATTGTTGTTTTTTCACTATTGTTTTTTTCTGATCTTAAATATTTCGTAGAAAAAAAAAACTATCTGTAAGTAAACTTTTGTTCTAACTTCTCTAAATATCCAGGTTCTTTTCATTGGGTAAATGTGTACCAGTTGTGCGCGGTGAAGGTGTTTATCAAAAAGGAGTTGATTTTTGCATTGAAAAACTTGCAGAAAATCAGTGGATTCATATTTTTCCCGAAGGTAAAGTAACGCCCATTCCGATACGGATCAAATGGGGTGTAGCGCGTATGGTAAGCTATGTCTGTTATTTTCCTTAGCGATGATTTTGTTATTAATATGCTTACACATGATCTTTCACATCTTATTTCTACAGAACCATATTTTAATTCACTCAGCAAAATATTTTTGTCTCAACTTTTAGATAATGGAAAGTCCAAATCCTCCTATACTTCTACCTATATGGATACACCAAATGGCTGACGTCTGGCCACAATCAAAGCCATATTACCCTAGAGTAGGAAAGGTAATAAATATAACCTTACACACATCTTTCATATATCCATGTTACCTGGATTTACAGTTTTAAGCTCTCTAGTATTCTGTTTAATGACTGTCTGCTGAATCTTGTTTAAACGTTTAAAAATCTTTAAAAAGCATTTTTGTCTGATTATTCTCTTATTGCAGCATGTCACAGTGTTGATAGGCTGTGAGGTGGATATGAAGGAACATATGTGGAGGTTTCGCACTGGCTCCGAACGTGAAAGGCGAAAAGCCCTTGCTGATTTTGTGCAGGAAAAATTGTTTAACCTTGGTGCTCAAATTGATCAAACAAAGTTTTAGCTATTGGTGGCTATGGGTAAAGTTTATCATGTATTAACTGTGAACTAAAGACCGCTTCAGCAGGTTCCGCTCGAATTTTACTTTTCTCATCTTTTCCTTGCACACTTCGCGTGTATTTTGATGTTCAAAAATTATTATGTCATGTTTTTAAAAGCGTTATGGTATCAACAGGCTTGTTTTTGATAATGTTAATAAAAAGTGTGGTCGTCATGGTTAGTTGAGCGAATAATATGTGATAGCTTAGGAATAATTGTTTTTCTAAGTTGTAAGGAAGGAGTTTCCAGCACTATTTATTTCGTAATTCTGATGAAGTTGCACTCTGCGTAACAATTTGTTTAAATAAGTTTCTTCAATAACTGTATGTAAAATCAGTTCCTTTAGTAAAAATTGAGATAATAATTAATACAAATTCGTCGGAACTTTCTGTTATTCTCTAATGAAGAACACATTCTAGAAGCAAAACTTTATTTTACATTGCAGTAACTTTCAAATAATTTGTGAAATAAGTTCTAAATGACTAAGCTTTGTGGTACAGATGGTCAGGATCAACTGAGAAATTTATGTGCAAAATGGCTTCATTAGGATGGAAGCTTTGTCGGTTATTTTTACATCATCACTGCCAGTATAGAGTAATAATGTACTGTATGAACATGTTGTATAATTATCTGTGAAAGCCAAAAACCGTTTATCAACACTAAGTGCCATAGAAATGGGTTTTGAAACATGGTAGTGAAAAAAAAAAAAGTTGTATATTTTATGAAATACCGGTATTACTTATAGTTCATGCACATTGACTTCTGGAAACCTCCACACATCAGAAAAAAAAGATAATTTCCGTGCACATGTGTCCTATTGGGATAGTTCCCGATCTTTTCTTTAGCAGAAGTAGGGTGTAAGAAGAGGACGGACGTGTGCTATGATTCTTTATGGTATGGAAATTCGACAAGTGTTTGCAATTTTATGGAAATTATTCTATAAAACGAAGTTTTCCAGAGACGTGAGACTTATGAACGGAAGTTCCTTACACATTTTCTGCGTACGAGATGTTCAATACGCAAGGATTAAACTACATCACCAGACAATCACACATTGAATGCTCGAACAAACCAAAATTCTTTAATCTGAAGTTTGAGTTATTATAATGAGAAGAAGATGTATGCAAAAATGTCGTTTTTTCCTTTTTGAATGCAAAAATTAATTGTAAAAGACACTTTTGGCTACAACAATATCACCTATTTTCTTTTCCTTTCTATGTAATACTGTCTAACGGATTGTCGATAATCGAAATTTTGTTATGCTAAATTATTTAACCTCGATCACAGCAGTATTTGAATTAATGTATATAAACTCTGAGTATCTTCCGCAAGATTTTTCAAACTTGAGCTTTCAAGAAAATTAGGAGTGATTTGCTAAGGAATGTGTATATGGTGTACGACTGTTGAGAATGATAACAGAGCAAGTAGTGCAAAACTTGTAATAGTGCATTGTTGTGTAGAGTATTTCTGCATGCCCCTCTGGTGAAGCTTATATCAGGTGGCAGTTGTTTGCTAGGAGTTAGAAATCTCGACAATTTTCAATTTTCACTGATTAACAGAAGAGAAGGAGCGCAGTTGATCCATCATCCATTTAGCCAACACTCAGAGGAAAGAAAGCAAGCTTCAAACAGTTACGTTCATCGTGAACTCATCCTGTGTTTGTGTCTATCTCTGTTTGTGTTTGTGAATTGAATTCGAAGATCTGCGATAATTGGACAATGGCGCCTCCTGCATCGCGTAAACAAAGTATTGTTGAAGCTGCCGAAAAAACTTTTGATAAGAATACTCTTATTCTTATTGTTAATCTACTTATCCTCGTTGTACTCACCAGCCTCCTCTATATGGTGGCAACTTCTGCTATGGCTTCATCCAGAAGAGATGAGCATTAGCTCAATGGTAAGTTGTTCAGCTTTTTATTTATATTTTGATACTTCTTGCCGTCTCTGTTTTCTTGAGATGTTACAATAAAAATAACCGTTCAAGTTGAGTTATATATCAATTTCTGAATCATTAAAATATGTTTAAGGTCACTGACTTTTCAATTAAATAAGTGTGGTTTTGGAATGGATAAACTGTTATCAGGATTATTGAAAAGCTTATTTTTGATTGTGATAATACTAGACATTCCCAGACATAAACTGTCAGGAAGTTGTCTATAATGTTATTCCTAATAGCTAATTCTTAATTAGTAAATAATTAAACTGAAAGTTTTACACCCAAAAATGCTTAATGTTAAGCTGTCCTTCCTTATCAACAGCTTTGAGGCAATGTCGAAATAAAATCAAACGGTTACTTTTATTACTCCAGATGTTTAAACAGGTACAAAGTTATTGTCATTGGACTGTTAGTTAAGATTATTGATTGTTGATTAACGAATAATTAAACGGAAGTTCTACGTCCAAAATACGCTAATTTTCTAAGACATTATGGGCTATTAAGAATTATTTCGAATATATCAGATTATTTCCCTTGTCATCAGCAGCTGACTTACAGATCATTTATGAAATATCCTTCAAATTTTTGGGAACTTCCGCAGTTTTATATGCTGTACAAACCAGATATCCAACAAGGTCGTGTAAGCATAAAAAATATCTTCCTGCTTAAGAATACTCTAATGAATCACTTCAAGATTTTTCTTTTTGAATCGCTAAGAATAACCAACTCTTGACATATCAGATCACATTGCATGGATCTTCTCATCTACAAATGAACACTAATAGTAGCGCGATACACTGTTATGTGGTACAATCTGGTAGTTAATGTTTTCAAAACAGATTAACTTCAGCTGACTTCTACGTACAAATCCCTTCCATTTGCTTAACAAATCAAACAAAACACACGAAACAATTTGAACAACGGCTAATTAATCTGTGGAGTTGGTATCACTTTCTTTAGCTCACTAAGACCTTTTTAAATGTATTTCAAAAATGTAATTTATCGCACTATAATACAGTAGTACAACCTCTGAGGATCAATGCATCGTCATTCTACGAATGGAAATTGCGACAAATCATTTCTTATTCCGCTTCATAATGAAAAATGAATATAACGGATGACAATGTACTTTATGCTTGGCCTTAATAAAAACGTGGAAGGGATTAACGCTTTTAAGTGTTTTAGTCATAAAAAGTCCTATCACTTAGTGCAATGGGTTCAGCAACAATTTCAATAAACTCTGAAATTTTAAATTTACAACATCAGTGTAAAGGCAAGTGCTTGCGCTTGCCTATCGATATTTGCTAGTAGCAAGCATAAGGAAAAAAAAATACCAACTATTAAAATTTCATTGTAATAACTTCTTAGTTATTTTTCCCATAATTTTATTGGATGTCTATTTCATTTTCATTCTTGTTTCTGTGTAAAAGTAACACAAACATTCATGGAAATTCCTTACTAATTTACCAATTTATACTTAGACCATTCCCATCCACAATTTCAAAATTTTTAATAATTTGAGTTGGACAAATAGTCTGTAATTTTGATCTCCAAATTGTTCAGCATACAAATCAGAAAGATCTCTCTTATTTTGTGATTTACTCTATTTTGTAGCCACCTTACGTCTTTTCACGCTCCTCTACCAGATTACCTATACTCTATATTCTTTCATTGCACTTTTTTTAAAAATTACCTACTATGATTTGTGTTGATCAATACAAAGTCATAAATTTCAACCAAGTTTAGCAGAATACTGGTAAATTTAATTTATATGCAGGATAGGAACGTTTATACACTGGAACCATATAGGAACTTTGGGCATTATGCAAGATAATGATTCCAAAGCTATCATGATGATGGTGATAATCAGTTATTAAGATGAATATGAAGTCAGATTAAACGAGAAGAGAAAAAAAGCAAAGGCACAATACCTGCTTAGTAAGTTGAGAAAGTAAAGACGTAAATATGTTTCAGGGATATGTTGCATTAATGTTTACATTTTACAAATTTCGGTTCGACAGTTGTAGAAAACGGAAACAATCTGATTTCGTAACGCTTCCACATGCTGCACAAAACGGTTCGATGTGATAACATGTATAGCAGGAAATATGTCCACAGGTAATATTCTTCACCGGTATCACAACTCTCTGTTGACATTGTGTGCATAATGTTCCTGATAGATCTGCGTGTTCATCATCTCTTTTAGATCTTGTTGTTTTCCAAAGACAGTTCTTGAGTGAAATGAAAAAAACCATAAGATCTCGAAATACACACCACATGAGTTTTCGGTTGAGTGTTTCGAAATTCAATAAACCTGAATAAGTTGAAATTTTAACAGAAATTTTCCCAAACTTCGTAGATTAAATACTCCTGAATAAAAGCACATATTTGTTGATTTTGTAATACTAATAAATAGTATGTGAAAACTATTTCCTCATTGTTGATGACTGCATTTTTATTTGCTGGACCTTTTTAACCGATTTTCAAACTTTTTATGTCCAAAAACAACACTTGAAATTTCCTGACTTAAATTCAAGTCATTTTCTTTGTACCATAAATTACTTCTTTAAAGCGTCTTTTATCCTAGGCTTTAGTCTCACTCATACTTCTTTCTTCTTGGTTCACTTAAGAGATGATATATAAGTAATTGTAAACTAATATCCTCATATTTCCGACGTATTTGTAGATTAAATTACTAATTGCGGCTAAGAGAAAGGTATTTTGTTTTCCCATGTACTCCAGCTTATAATAGCAATTTCGGCGCAAATATTTTCAGAACATAGGAGCCGAATTGTATTTCTTAATTTCTAGGTAGAATTTAACATGTTTCCTATGTATTATCGAGACGTTTAATAAACAGATTAATATCGTGAAACAGCCTTCATTTATCTTCGGAATTCCTTACCATTACAAATTTTTCAATAAATATTTACATTACTTCATTAGTGAGTGGCAAAGGGATCTTTCGCCATAGCTATTCTAATTTATACAATAATATAATCTACTGTTCACACAAACACCATTTTTCGA